TCCTGCCTCAGCCTCCCGAGTAGCTGGGATTACAGGCACACACCACCATGCCCAGCTAATTTTTTGTATTTTTAGTAGAGACGGGGTTTCACCATGCTGACCAGGATGGTCTCGATCTCTTGACCTCGTGATCCACCCGCCTTGGCCTCCCAAAGTGCTGGGATTACAGGCTTGAGCCACTGCGCCCGGCCTTAATGCAGATATTTCACTAGGTATACATTGAGAAACACTGACCTAGAACGATATCAGGCAAAAACTACTTGCATTGTTGAGAAGTATAGTTGTCAACTGTTAATATGCATACAGTAAGAATTCTGACCCGTTTGACTTATTATCACAAAAATGAATCTCCACAATTTTCACTGACTTCGTGCGATGTGGTGCTTTGGGGCACAAAAGAGAACATAAAGGATGGTCGAACAGAGGCAACCCAATGCAGCCTGAAGTGTGATGAATGGAGACCACAAGAACCTGGTCCTGCCACTGACTAATTTTACAAGCTTGGGTGGAAGTAAATTCATAAATTTACTTCTTTTCAGTTTTCACATTTTGTAAAACAAAACAAAAAAAAAGGAATACTATACTATCAGGGATAATTTCTCTAGTTCATCACTAGAGAAGTTTCTATGAAAGTATGGAACACCAGAAACCACGAAGAGAGGTGCAGCCACCTCTCCTGAGTGTGAAGCTGGGTCCTGGTGTTGCTTTGCTGCAACTGCCATTTGCCATTGATGATTGTTTTTCTCTTCCTTTGGGAGAGTAAGAGGGAAGGATGCAGTCTGAGTGGTTCCTATTTAAAAAACAAAGAGGCCGGGCGCGGTGGCTGAAGCCTGTAATCCCAGCACTTTGGGAGGCCGAGGCGGGTGGATCACGAGGTCAAGAGATTGAGACCATCCTAGTCAACATGGTGAAACCCCGTCTCTACTAAAAAAAAAAATACAAAAAATTAGCTGGGCATGGTGGTGCGTGCCTGTAATCCCAGCTACTCAGGAGGCTGAGGCAGGAGAATTGCTTGAACCCAGGAGGTGGAGGTTGTGGTGAGTCCGCGCCATTGCACTCCAGCCTGGGTAACATGAGTGAAACTCCGTTTCAAAAAAAAAAAAACAAGAGGAAAGAAAAAACCAGGAGAATAGCTTGGATGATTTTTTGCTATGTGGTACTGTGAATGAAATGAAATGGAACTTATAATAAGGTATTTATCAATTATAAAAAGATTTTCAAGTATATTATTATTGCCACTGCCCTCAAGTTGGTCACAATGTGGTTAGGAAGACAAAACCTAAGTATCTGCAAGTAAAATAAAAATATGACCCCTATGGGCAGTGCTTAAGGGCTAGTATGAAGTGCTTCTCAGAAAGATGATAATTAACCAAATCAACAGAATGAATCAGCTTAGCTATTTTTTTTTTTTTTTTTTTTT